TTCTTAGGGGGGGATGGAATTCATGTGATGTTTTTTTAAAAAAGGTTTTTGCCATAGGAATATCGCTCTCTTAATTTCTGAGAAGAGACCGATATTCTCATTGCAATTTCAATAGAAAAACACCTCTTCCTCAGATTGGCATGCCTCTCTTAAGAAGTCAGGTAATTTTAAACGACTAAGCCAAACCGCACATTATACACCAAGCACTAGCCGTGAAGTGGGTAGTAGACAGACAGTCATATGTATGGTGGCAATGATATGAGAGAGGAGATGTAGACTTGTGTAGAGAAAGTTACAGTAGAAGAGGGGGGACATTTTGATAGGCAGGTGGGATTAAGAGAGATGTGTTCAAGGAGAGGGACCGGATCAAGAGGAAAGGGAAATCTGAGGGTGAGATGGAATTGATGAGGTTGTCCAAAAGAAAGAGATGAGAACAAAAGGCAATGTGTGAATCAGGGCATGGATGTGGTGGAAGCAAAGATAGACAGTAAGGAAAGAACAGTACTAAGAGGTGCAGTGAATAGATGGAGCAGTTTGGTGCAGTCGTTATTGGGGTAGAAAACAAGAGACTGTGAGTTTTAATCCTGCCTTAAATAAAAAAGCCAGTTGGGTGACCTTGGGCCACACTCAACTCTAGGAGGGAGGAAAGGCAAATCAATTCTGAAATCTTGCCAAGAAAACTGCAGGACTTGTCCAGGCAGTCACCAGGAGTCAACAATGACTCAAAGTCACCCCCACCCCAAAAGCGAATAGTAAATTAGAATTAGTTATATGTTCTTTTATTCTCTGTTATCGCTTGCCTTTAATCCCTTTTGCTCATTACTTCATATTTATTTTCTGTGCCTTAAATACCACTGCTAACCCCTCCCAACCCCAAGAAACATTGTGTTAGGTCTGTCCGTCTTTCTGTCTAGTACAGGGGTAGTCAACCTTGGCTCTTTTATGACTCGTGGACTTCAACTCCCAGAATTCCTAAGCCAGCACAGCTGGCTCAGGAATTCTGGGAGTTGAAGTCCACGAGTCATAAAAGAGCCAAGGTTGACTACCCCTGGTCTAGTACTCCAAGGAAACAGTAAGCATCCCTTTCAAATTAGACGCATCCGCAACAACAACAACAACAACCCAGATCCCTTTAATTTTGAAAAGGGATCCCCAGTTGTATCCCTGGCTCATGGGAACAGATTAAAATCCAGTAAGACTTGCTGAAAAATATGGTCTCACCAGTGCGTGTGAGGAAATAACTGTGGTTGGTGTCAAGGTGCTTCCTGTCCCACCCGGCGCCAGGAGGCTGTTAACAGCTGCATTCACTTTCTCTTGAGTTGGCAATGAAGGAAGCTCCAAGACTTTAGGCTTCTTCCCTTTCTGGGGCTGTCCCTCAAGAGAAACAGAGACCAGGCTGGGAGATTGTGCTTCCTTCTTCAGTAGCCTATCTCCATCTTGATGCAGCTCGGCCTCCCCAGATTCCTTCTCCAGAGAAGACTTCTCAGAAGGAGCTGTCTCTTCCTTCACTCCACCATCCATTAAAACCATCAGAGCAGCTGCTTCTTCATCAAGGTCAAGGTTCTCCTCCACTTTCACCAGCACCTTCTCATCAAGTGCACGAGTCTCCAAATGAATGGGCTCCACTATGACCTGGATGGGGGACAGAAAACAGAGGTGATGAAAGTGACGCTACCAGGAGGAGAAGATTTGGGAGATCAAAGAGAGTCTCCTAAACAAAGCAAAACCAGTTTACTTGATTTTGAAGTTAATTATTGTTTACAGGGGAAGTTCCAAAAATAAACTCCAGAGCCTAACTTAGCTCAAATGATTCATTTGGTACTGTTGAATATTTGTCTGGCACAGATCTACTTTTCTTCCAGAGTCCTCTGCTAATAACCAGTCCTATTGTAAAACAATCAGTACTCACTCTTGGTCTACTGATCTGGGGCTAATTTGTTTGCTCTGTTTTCCTTAAAACTGAGCTTTCATCGAATGTATCTTGCAAGTTGGTCATACATTCTCATTCCTTCAAAACACTGTCAGTTTATTTCAAGATGGTCATGAAACGGAGGACCATCCTCTCCTGAGGCATTTGGAAACACATTGTCTCTACAAAACCATTTCCCCCAATCTGGTGTCCTTCATCTGTGCCAGAAATACAGTTCCTAAAATTCCAAGCCAGCAAAGTCACTGTCTATACAGGCTGGGGATTCTGAGAATTGCAGTTTCAATACATCTGGAGGGCACCGGGTTCAGAAAAAGCTTCTGTTAAAGAAAACTGGATCCCAGCAAAAAACTATTAGCAGGCTGGTTACAATTTTAATTAGAAGCTCTTTTGCTATGTCTAACAGTAACTAGGTTACCACATCAACCTAAAACACAGTGTGAGTTTTACCTAAGTATGTTATATGAACCAATCGATTTCTAAAATCCTGATTTACATTACAGCATAATCTATGATGCTGCGACAGAAATGTGCTCGGTCAACAAACCAATTCTAAGCTCATAATTTAGCACAATATGAGAATGTAGACATTGATTATATTCTAAAAGTTATTTTTATCGTCTAGCTCAGTGGTTCTCAACCTTTTTAATGCCGCGACCCCCAACCGGTCGTAAGTCGAGGACTAAACCGGTTGTAAGTCGAGGACTAAACCGGTCGTAAGTTGAGGACTAAACCGGTCGTAAGTCGAGGACTACCCAACCGGTCGTAAGTCGAGGACTTTCCCTGCCCGGGAGCACCGCACATGCGTGGTTCCGCCCCCTGCGCCGGCCGAGGCATAGCTGGCAAGCGGCAGAGACGGAGCAGGCCGACCACCAGCTGGCCCAGCCCAAGGGAGGTAAGGCACCCGCCGGAAAAGGGGGAAAAAATGGCGGACAGCCTTGCTTGGCGACCCCCGTGAAATGGTCGATCGACCCCAAATGGGGTCGCGACCCATAGGTTGAGAACCGCTGGTCTAGCTCCTCTCTCTTCTCAGGCTTCCTCTAAACATGTTCTCCATTCCAAACCCACTTCATAGCTTTTTCTGGTTATGTATTAGCCCAGCCATTATTCCAGCTATGGCCATTTCTACATTGGCCAACCCTTTTCTCATAACTTTAGTTAACATGCTCCTTTTGGTGCAAAGAAACAGAAAAAGAAATAAAACAAGAGCCCCACTTTCTGACCCTTACTTGTTCATAAAGTTGTTTGAGAGTTATTGTTCATTCTGTACATGTGATACATAATTTAAACATAAAACAAACTTTAGAAAAGCTCTTCTCAGTTTTTGCTCTTCATTTCCTTGTGGGTCTGTTTCCATCTCCTTTCAGCAACTGCTTTTATACTTACTTGTTTTATGTATTTATAGTTAAACTTATTTGCTTTCGGTACTAATTTTATACACATACACACGAATACATACATGTGAATTTTTGTAAAAATATAAATTAAAATCATATTTTAATAGTATTCTTTCTTAGGCTTAGATTTCCCATGATGGGTCCTGCTTTCCCTACATAGTAACTTCCTTTGCTTTTGATATTATAGTTTTATACTTGTATACCCTTTGTATATTGTACTGCTTTATTCTGGTCTTTTGCCATAATGGGGGGGGGTTGTTTATGAACTTAAGAAAAAGCCTAGTCTAATTTAGCATTCTGCAGAGTGCTCAACAATAAATAGTAAAAAGGTTCTCAAGTGGAATACATGGACAACACTGTCAACTGGTAATTAGGACATGCAACTTTTGATTCTGGAGCTTTCTGTTTAAAAGGTATTTCCCCTTTTAAAAACATCTAGATTAAAAGGTCATGACCACAGCTGGTAGCTGCAAATTCCATATTTACCTAATGGATGGCCACAAATTTAATGACATGAAGCAGAAGAAAAACATCACATGATGCATCTAATACATTAAAACCACGGTGGAAAAATATTTTAAAATAGAGAAACTAGCTGCATTTTAAAACATTTTAACACATGATGGCATTTAAAAAGTTTAACTGTCTCTTTAAAACAGCAGAAACACATTCAGAGTCCCTCTGTTTAAATGCCACTTAAAATCCTTGAGAAAGACCCACAGAGCCTCTCTAAAATTCTCAACAAATAAGAACAATAATAATGGTAGGTGGATAAAAAATGCCAAATCCAGTCTAAATTTATGGCTGACTGTGCGATGAACCATAGTAATTGAAAAATATATATATTTTAAAGAAAATAATAAGAAAATCAAAACTAATCTGTGAGAGAGTAACCTGGAGAGTAAGGAATTGCAGAGGATATACAACAACTGAAACCAAGTGTCTTGGCCATTACAGGGAAGATCAAGAACTATGACAATTGAATATGAACATTCCAACAGATTTTGCAGCTTAGAGCAAATCAGCATCACTTCTATAAAATCTTTGAAAACAAGAAAGGACCAACAAATAATGAAAAGCCTGACAAGAAGAGATCTTAAAATTTTAGAAAGGTTTGTGGGGAAAACAATACGAGTCACAGTAGGAATCCAACATGGATTAAGCAAGTTGAAATCACAGTGAAAGTACTTATATGGAAGACACTTTGATAACTGAGAAATGGTATGAAAGCCATCAGGGAAGATCAAAAACTCCTGATGAGCATCATAGATTCTGGCTAAAATCCCGGACAAATCTACCCTTGAGGTTGGGAGACCAAATGAATAAGGTTTTGGAAGCATCAGAAAACAAACAAACAAAAAATGGCCAACAACTAGATATTCCTATTTCAGAGTGAGAAGGAGAAGGGAAATAAGCATGGAAACTATATACCCGTGACCTGTTTGCCACAACATTCAAGTTATTTAAAGGCATAAATGCAAATCAAATCTATAGTAATTTGAAAATAAAGATTTACTTCCTGTAGAAAAAAAGGGTGCTCCAAAATTTGAGCAGAACAAAGGACCAGTTATTGATTGACATTGTTTTTAAAGAATTTCAAAAAGATCAAATATATTGGATAGACTTCAAAAGGCATTCAATTCTCTTTCACATTAGCTGGATTGAGAGATGTCTCAACATTTTTGGAATCAGTAGAAACATTCAGCAATTTATGAACAGATCAATGAAGTTGAATGAAACTGATGGCTAATAGGGAAGAATTAGAAGATCAAACTTGAAATTTTCCAAGATGACTCATTATCACCTTTGCTTTTTATACTATCAATGGTCCTACTGACAACAATTTTAAACAAGACAGACTGTGGAAATGAATTGGCTAAAAAAGGAGTAAAAAAATCCTATTTATTCTATATAGATGGTTTTAAATTATTTCGAAAAACAAAGGCTAAACTTGATTCCTTATTAAAAGCACAAAAGACTTCAGTAAAGATATTTGAATGCAATTTGGCATCCACAAGTGTGCAACCATAGCCATAAAGGCCAGAAAAACTGTTGAACATGATGAATACAGCTTAACAATGAAGATCTGATAAAGGCAGTAGCACCAGAAGAAGGCTACGAATATTTGGGAATTTTGGAAGTGTCCAATTGATTACAGAATCAAGTCAAAGAAATTATCATGATGATGTTATCCGTTCTAACATCAAACAAATTCAAAAACTTTTGAAATCAAAACTAAATGGTGGAAATATCATGAAAGCAATTAACAGCTGTGCAGTACCTGTTATTTGCCACCTAGAAAGAATAGCTGACCGGACTCAGGTAGAACTTGTTAACTTGGATTGGAATACAAGAAAATTAATGACAAGACACCGTACTTTGCTCCCAAAAAGTGATATTTATTGACTATATTTTCCAAGAGCTAAAGGGGTAGAGAACTTCTATAGATGAAACAAACTATGGAGGAAGAAAAGCATGGCCTGAATGATTAAATTAAGGAAAACAAAGAAACTAGTTGAAGGCAGTCATTCAAGGAAAACTCTTGAAAACAACAAAAGTGAAGGCTGAACATAGATAAGTATGTAGAATTGAACAATTTATTAATTGGAAAAACAAGTCAATGCATGGTCTATCTTTAAAGAATATAGAAGGAAAAGCTAATAAAAAAACCCACATAAAGTTGGATAGGATCAGGGGTGTTAAAGAAACTGAAAGCTTTATTTTAGTGGCTCTAGAACAAGTTTTGACCACTAACTGCATGAAGGTAAAAATTCAACATGTAACAAACAGCAAATGTCACCTTTGCAATAAAAAAAGATGAAACAATTGACCATTTGATAAGTGGCTGCAGGAAAATTTCACAAACTAACTACAAGGACTATAACTCATGACCAAGTTGCCAGAATTATTGATTAGAAACTGTGCCAAAAGTCTGAATTGGAATGGAGTAAAAACTACGAGGACCATAAAGTTGAGAAGGTTTTGGAAAATGAGAGGGTTAAGATGTTGCAGGACTTTAAAATCCAAACAGACAGTCATCTTGTTTATAACATGCTTGTTTTAACAATTATTGAAAAAATGAAAGTCTGATTTACTGATGTCGCTATTCTGGATGATGCTAGGATTGAGGAAAAACAATTGGGGAAAAATTATGAAATACTGCAACTTGCAATTTGAAGTTGAACATCTATGGAAAAAGAAATCTGTTGTTATACCAATCATGACTGGAGCCCTTGGAGTGATACCTAAAGGACTCCCTTGATATCTGGAAACACTGAATTTATCAGACATGGACCACTTTCCCTGGGACTGTCTATATTCTTAGATGTTATCTTAATAATTTTTAGGTTCACGATTAGGACTCGAATTATTAAGTTTCTACCAGTCTTAGCCTATGAATCTAACTGCAGATTACTCATACATAACATTTAATAATTGCATGTTGCCAAATCTTCCCAGATTCATGCAGCTAATAGCAAGACACCAAAACCCAATAAATGTCCATAATAAAGTAGGAAAATTAATCCATAACTGCAAATAATATCATAATAAGAGCAAAATAAAAACAATTGTAGTGTAATGAAACTTCAGCTATAGATGTCAAGCAATCACTGCCCAAAGCCACCTTGAAAAAATTTGATCTTCATTACTTCCGAAGCACTATCACCAAGGGGGCCAGCCTAGTTTCTAGAGAGAGAGGACCGTTTTAAAGCACTGGTACCATGATTGAGAAATAGCATTTTCTGGCTTCAACTCCCCTCACTTCACTACATTGGGGTTTGGAATAGGTAGCCCTGGAGATGTATTTTATAAGTCAACTTTGAATGGCACCAAGAAATCTACTAGTGACTAGCCCGCAACACGCCAGTTAGATGTAATCATGGCAATTACTGTATGCCAGCCAGCAAACGGCTACTGCATTATGAACCAACTGTATTTTCTCAGTGATTTTCAAAGGCAGCACCATGTAGAACACATTGCAGAAGTTTATAACCTTGTGGTGATAAAGGAATGAATCACTGCGGTGGGTCTTTCCACTTCAGAAGGGCCACAATTGGCTCACCAATCACCCTCCTGGCCACAACAGCCAACAAACTATCCAGTTGTAGTTGTGAGTTCTGGAGACTGGCAGAGAACAACAATGTACAATTATGTCTTGCTGCATAACTGAACCTATCAATTTCCACCTGTTTCACTCCATCAAGATCCCAACAGCCTTCAAACAGTGGGAGAAATTTTTTACAGGATTTCCAATGAGGCCCAGATACCATAAACCTGAGAATCATCAGTCTATCATGCAAGGATCTCTCCCAGCAGTTTCACAGACATATCAAACAACAAGAAGAGAAGATTGACTCCTCCAGCATCCCACAAGGAAGTGACTACCAGGCAGGTATCTCTTTCCCTACCACTGACTGGAACTGCCCACTGAGCTAGGAACAGAACCACTGCAAAACAACATCCTTGGTCCCCCTACCTCTATAGGCAGCCCAGGAAGATTCCATAGTTAATAGCACCGGAAGCCACTGAGTGGTATAAAAGGACCAAAAATGTCCCCATCAATTCCCTGACAAAGATCATTCACTGGAGAAACCAATCGTATGCCCAGTGATGCGCTGGAGTCAGCTCACACTGGCTCATGAGAATCAATTATTAAATTTTTTGGAATATTGTAAGCCATTTGACAGCAGATGTGAGCCTAGCATGCCAATCAGCTGTTTCATGACTAGAGCATAGCAGCAGTAATGGAGCTGGCAGAGCCAATCCTTAAATATTTAGCAGCACACCACTGCCTATGCCCCATGCACAAGCTTGAACTCTCCCTGAAAGAGTTCCAGATAATTTACTTCCTCTGAAGTGCTGTTGAATCTCCACCAGGCATTCAATGATATTCTGTAAGAAGGTAAGAAGGCTAGATAATTATTCTCAAACACTGTAAGATACAAGGAGGGCATCTTATGCAGTGGGTTCATGCAACAGCCTCCACCAATGTATCCACCTGAAGAAAGACACCAATCCCTCCTGGATCCAGGTCATCATGCCCATGTAGGAGGCAGGCAGATCAGCACCAAGATGCAATATTTCCTCTTTACTTCCCCCCATTTTCCCTCCATATGAAAATTACGTCTATTTTCAAGTTTAAATGAAAACCTTTTCTCTGTTCTTCCTCCCAAATTGAACTAACCTTCCTTCAGTCACTTTATTTATACATCTGTACATACAATAAAAGAAAAATAAAAACAACCACTACCACTAAATGACCCTACTGAAAAAAAAAATCTAAAGAACATTCCCTGCCTCACTTATTCCTAATCCAAATATAAATGCAATTTAACCTATCATGGAGAATTTTCCATAATTTTGGTGCTACAACCGTGAAGGCTCTCTTTGCTATTCTCAAAACTCTAATCTTTCTTATTGGAGGAATGTATTACAGAGCCTTAAGCTTTAAGCCTGAGAAACCCCCAAACTACATGAAGTCAAACTCTCCTCAAAATTATGCCACTGACATCGACTAACAAAAATGTTAATTTTCAGTTGTGCATTTATTTATTTTTTACAATTTAAGCTATCAAGTAGAAATGTTAAGCTTTAGAACGGTGTTTTTCAAACTTGGCAACTTTAAGCTGTGTGGACTTCAACTCCCAGACTTCGTCAGCCAGCATCTTAAAGTAGTTAAGTTTGAAAAACATTGCCTTATGTAGATTAAATATTGACTTTCTGAATTATAAAAATTTAGGGCCTATTCATTCCAATGTTGTCACCACAGTCATGGATTGTTTGTGCTTTTTAAAAATAGAATTGTAAGTCAAATACAAAAAAAATGTATTATACTGCTTTAAACTGTGGGGTATTTTATCCAAGAAAAGTTGCTTTTTTCTGGAAAACTTTGACAATTTTGCTCAATATAAGGGAGTGCTTGAAGTGTCCCTGGATGAAGTATGAAAGCCAAAAAAATTGGCATAGGAAATATATAATGTGGTCAATAGAGCAAGGGGCAGAAATGCAAAAAGTAGAAGCTGCAGCTTTCAGAGTTTCAAGAGTCATTCTCTGCTAAGCACGTCAAAATATTTCAAAAGACAGGATTAAAGCAGATTTCTAAATGGAGGACAGCCTTCTCTTGGAAAGGGGATAAATGCCATACAAGCTGAAGCAAAGATGTTAAGGATGGAATTTGGGGAACATTTGAATTTTTTAAAAGTAAAACTTGTAGAAAAAAGTTGAAAAAAGGGGGATAAAGTGTTTATTCTGTAAAGAGCAGCCAGAGAATCAAATATGTACCAATTTCTTTTATTTCCTGACAGGGAGTTATAGTGAAGCTAAAGAGCTGCACTTTCTATATGATATAACGCTGTGTGTCATCCAGCATTCACAAAAATAAAAAGTGCTTCTTGGGACAGGGAATACCTGTGTCTCTGTCTTGAGCAGGATTTTCCTGAGGAGAGATGTTTTAGCATGTAACAAAAGAAACCATTCCCCGAACCACTCCCTCTCCAGGTGGAACAACTTTTATTCCTCTAAAAACTACACAAAGTTCTCCAAGAGAAGTGAAAAACAAGAAGTTCAGTACAGAGCCTTCCCGAACCTCTGAAAAAAGATTATAATCTACAAGAAGCTGGGAAAAGGCCCAAAGCAAGAAAGGGACTCTGGCATCTCTCATTAGATTATTGTAGGAAACAAAAGGCAAGTTGAGCTAGAAATACTGCCTACAATTACCTCAGTTTGTGCCTTTTTAGTGTAATTTATTACTTCTGATCTGTATTGTCTAATGCAAACGCAGTGTCTTTTGTCTTCTGACAGACTGGAACTTCTTTACAATAGAATTGGTTCTAAATAGGAGCAGACCAGCATTATCTTTACTTAGCCAAACTATTTCTATTTTCTTATGGGAGATCCTTTCAAAATGCTATCTGAGATTTTTTTTTTTAATTTGCTTTGCCTTTGAATATTTTGCTCCTGACTATTTAAAGCCAAAGTAAAATTTTTACATTCTCCCTTTTGTTTTTAAACAAGGTTTTATTTTGTTTGCCTCTTGTGAGGTTAATCTAGCTCCCAAAAAGGGGAGAGGGAAGAATGGGCTGTTTTCCATTATCACAGACCACGATACTACATGGCCAGAAGATGGTGCTATAGAATTTATCTCGTTTATTTATCTCTCTGTTTGCTTCATTTTAAATTACCAGAAAGTGACATAAGGTGTGAAAAGCCTATCCTACTTGTATGCCAGAATTAGTGGAGAAGATGTTAGGGAAGACATTCCCTGCAAGAATTACCAAACTGCACACCAAAGCAGAAGGTGGAACTAAGGTATGCAGACCCAGAAGGGGAAAAGAGCTGAGACTGCCAACCTTTCATCTTGCAGGCTTAGCCCTGCTGTCACAAACATATAATAATTAAAAGCACAGAGATAATGCCAGAAACAAAATGGCAACCCCAACAACATATGCACACGGTTCCCATAACTGCCAAATGTGTGCATTATATAGCTCAGTCAGCATTACTAGCCCTGTTCATTTTTCTGCCCTGCCTAAAGTATCAGAAAAAAACAAGGGTGAAGAGCAATAGCACTTAGACTTATATACCGCTTCACAGGGCTTTAAAGCCCTCTCTAAGTGGTTTACAGAGTCAGCATATTGCCCTCAACAATCTGGGTCCTCATTTTAGCGACCTTGGAGGATGGAAGGCTGAGTCAACCTTGAGCTGGTCACGATCAAACTCCTAGCAGTGGGCAGAGTTAGCCTGCAATACTACATTCTAACCACCATGCTATCATAGAAGAAGAAGAAAAAAAAAGAAGCAGCCTCTACTTGCTTTGCTATTTCCTTGGGTGTTTTAATCCAATATAGAAAGAGCAAAGAAACAAATAGCAACAACAGTGCAAAAGATGAAGCAAATCCATCCAGGGAGTGATCTGTTGAGGAGATCCTACTCAAAGTCCCCTTAAAATCTGGAGCTAGCTCTAGTCTTCTCCTTCCAGCAAGCTAGAAGCTCTTTTCGTGACTCACCTGCAGGGACTCTTGGGATTCCTCTGGTTCTTCAATGCTTATATGCAGTTGTGGGAGGTCCTCCACTGGGGTCATGGAAAAGGAGGCCATTGGCTCAGGAGCAGCAGCAAGGGGAGGCAACACAGGCAAGACCTCTGTCTCCTGGCGTGAGCCCCGTCCAACAGGTGAAGGGTTCTGTAGTGACTGAATGGTGAAAGTGGAGTACAGTCCAGAACGCATGTATTCATTTCGACTGCTACGTGGGGCACCCCCACCTCCTCGTGGAGCTTTGGAGGTACCAAAGGCACCTTCACTCCCTTTGGCCTCACCTGGGACCTGCTCAGGTTTTTTGGTACCTGCCTCATCCTTCATGCCTTCCATACTCGAAAGTTCCGGGTAAGAGACAAACTTGTAGACAAATTTCTGACCACTGACTTTACGGATGATATTCTGGAATGCACAGAAAGGATGGTTGAATTAGAGCAGCAGAGACAAAGTAATCAAGCATTTTTCATGAGACAACCAGGTTCTATTGATAACATTTTGTGGAAAGATATTTGAATTTAAAAATCCAGTGTATTCTGAAATGAGCTAGACTGTAGTTGATACTTTCTGACAGTTATTTGCATAACTGCGTGTTTTATTCAGCTTTTGGGAGAGTTCCAGTTATGGTGCACGTGTGTGTATATCTGTTAAAAGGAGAGTAGCTTTGAAACCTTCACACAATAATAATGTGTAGATGGATTATTATGTCGTAACAATGAGATTATCTTGTTCAATGAGTCTTACTTTAAACTATGTAAGCATAGATTTACAGAAGCAGAGAATGAAAATACATGGGATACCAATTTCTCTTTTTATAAAATTTGATATCAGGTAGTTAAGGGATAAGGAACCTGCAGCTCATATTAGCTGTTGCTGAATTTCCAGCATTTGATAATGATTGGCAATATCAGTTGGAGCTACCGGTAGATTAGCAAAAACTGAGGGCCACCAGATGTTTATGTTGTTTGCTTCCATTTATCCTGTTATATATTCCACAAAGTTGGAAGGAGCTGTTGAAGCCATCAGGATCTGCTCTTGTTTGATGCAGGAATCCTAATTTAGCACACCAAGCTAAAGCCTAGCATCCGTTTGAACAAATACAAGAACACACCATCCTTCTGTGCTAATATAGTTCCATAATCAAGCTGCTCTTACTATTCAGAAGCATTACCTAATATTCAGTTGAAAAAGGTCTTCTACTGTATTTTATTTGCTGCATTCAGAATGACCGAGAATGGGTTTTGGCCTTATATATATATACACCTCAATGGGCTTTCTTCCAAGGGAGAAAAAAAAAATCAGGTCACTCTGCCTTGGAAAGTGGGGTTCATATAACAAAACAGGTATGTGTCAGTTGCTAGATGTTTCTCAGTCTATTTTGTTTTCCTATAAATAGTTACTCTTCTGTTACAGAGCCACCAAACAATTTTCAGAGATTCCAAATGATTTCAAGCTTATCTTTGCAGGCATAAAAATCCCCCCCAAAAAAGGGAGGGGAGAAACTTGGGAGTGTCAGAAGGCAAATATTTACATTTACCATTTAATTCATGCACAGATTGTCAAAACACAGCCTATGCCAGTGATGGCGAACCTTTTAGAGACCAAGTGCCTAAACTGCAACCCAAAACCCACTTATTTATCGCCGGGTGCCAGGTGGGCGTGGCCCACTGGATGGGCATGGCTGTGGTGGTCATGGCAGATTGGGTGGGTGTGGCCAAGGTGGGCGTGATCACCTCAATGTTGCTCATGGGGAGGGACGCCTGTGGGGGCCAGGAAGGGTTGGGGGAGATCCAGAGGGGTCTCTGGCAGGTGGGGCGGTGGGCAGGAGGCTCATCCTGCGGGGTGAGGCGAGGCAGGGCGGGGGTGCCATTGTCACAGGGCAAGGTGAGGCAGGGGCTGGGGTGGCTGCTGCCTGACACCATTGGCCCCTGCACACAGAGGCCAGCGAGCGCATGGGTGCTGGGATGCATCCAGCCATGTGGGACCTCGGTGAGTTAGCGGGCGGCTGGTTGAAGAGGGACGGTTGCCATCTCCGCGGCATGGCGCGCATGCCCACAGAGAGGACTCTGAGTGCCGCCTCTGGCACGCGTGCCATAGGTTCGCCACCACTGGCCTATGCTCCATCATTTATTCATTCCCTATTGATCTGAAAGAAAATTTCATCTCCCCCCCACCCACCCACCCAAATATTTTTTTAGGTTTCCAGTGCGCTCTCCTTAATTAAGGCTGGGCTGAAGTAGAAAGCAAAGCAGGGGTTGGCAGATTCCTCCTGAATTTTCAAAATGGTCTCTCACTTTGTCATAGTAGTAACGCAGGGCCCGGCTCAGCTTGTCATAATTCATGTTGGTCTTGTTCTTCCGCAGACCCCAGAGTCGGGCCACCTCTTCTGCATCCACCAACTTGAACTCCCCATCATTGGATGTCCATGAGATCAGATGCCCATTGCTCTGCTGTTCCAGCAATTGCAGAAGAAACTGCCACAGAGTGACGGAAGGATCCATGACTAAAGGAAAAAAAGGAAGCGCAAAAGGACAGCTGATTCAGTGATACTGATTATTGCAGGGCACAATCCTAGGTAGGTAACAAGGAATGTTTGCAAATCAGAAGGATCAAGTAATAAGTGTGATGGCTGAAGTTGACTAGAAAGTGTGGGTGATGGAGAACTTCACTCACCAGAGGGAAAAAAAATAGCGTCAAGGAAAAGATTGGGTCAAATCATTCTGACATAGTTGCTTTCTACATGCAAGGTGGGGGTGAGGACAAGAGTTCAATGCAAAGCATCCAGTTATTCTAGCCTCCCCAATCACTCACACATGTACTCTCGCACACACATGCTGAAGAGATAAAGTTCAGAAAAAGTGTAACCACTTGATTTAGCTAAAACCAGTTTTGTGAATACTTCCAGATGTGTTTTGTAAAGTTGCCTCCAGTCTATTGAACTTGGAAGCGAAGAGTAGCCTAGGATGGAAAAAACACTCCACTAATACCCTGAACATCAACTCTCTTGGCTGCTTGAGAGTCCTGATACACAATGTTTAAACAAGCTGTTGCTTCATGGCTTTCCTGAAAGAGATTTGATTTTGTTGGGAAACTCTGAAGATAACAGTAATCTTTTGTCCAGGATCCACAGACTTAAAAGAATTGCAGTCCTCAGCCTTCCTGGAGGGTGCTTCATCGGTTTTCAAACAACAGACTGGATTCTTTCTTTGGGCTACACTGGTCTTTTGAGTGCTGGGTGAGAAATGTACTCCAAATAGTGTGTATGGGCCCACGTTAAAGACGTGCAACCAGAGCCAAAAAGATCTTTTCATATAACAAAATTTTAAATGCCTGGAATTTACTCAGTTACTCCTTGTGCTTTTATTATTTTCCTTTTATGTCACCTCAAGCCTACAGTTCAGCAGCAGTTTTTGAATGAGTTTTTGGGATAATGTGTAACACTGGGAGCACTGATTGAACATTATTGATATAATAGTACACTTAGTACTCAAATACCCAGAAGTGAGACCAAAGAGCACTGGCTTTGGCTATGAAGTCACTTCCTTGCAGGCTTTAAATATAACCTCTATAGCTATAAATGATTATTTGTGTGATGCTGTTCTTTGTCACTGGAAAGTATACAAGTATCTCATGCAAGACTTTGATATATATTTTTTTTGCCAGATATAATCAGGGGGAAAAATCTCTATCATCAATTATGCATACAGTATCATTTCGTCAGTTTAGAAGCACCCTATTACTACACTACAAAGATAATCCTTGATGTATCCCAGTCTTTGAAAATAATGCTACAACTTGTGTTGGGACAAAACTATTACAACAGAACAATGAGTAACAACAGAACAGACACCATTCCACCCCTCAAATGAGCTATTATAATTATGTTGCAGTACTACCCTTAGCCATATGCACACAACTGGGCTAAAAGCACAGTTTCACCTCACAAAATGTCTGGAACCTGAGTAATACTCAAACAAGGCTCCCTCCCAAAATTAGCCATGGGAATTGTTCCAAATGCCCTGAAGCACAATTAATTCATGGAGAGCCAGCAGTCCTCGTCAACACCGCACGCACACACACAGTCATCCTTTACTCTAGATCCAGGTCATTCCTGAAGAGCATTTGGCATTTTTCCCTTTTGGGGGGGAGGGGAAAGGTTTAAAATATCATGTGGTCACCTGAACAAGGCCTCATACATCCAAGGAGAAAAAGAATGTGACAGCAAGGTCCACCATCTTTTACAGCAGGGTTGTTGCAGTGCAGGACAGGCAAAGCCCATACCGAGCTTTTGAAAGGCATATCAGGGGCCACGCTCCAAACAGTGGGTGAGAACAGATGAAAGTTGGTGTAAACAAGGACAAAAGCAACATTTGATTTGCATTTTATATAAATGCAAACTGAATTAAAATGCATTTAAATAAGGAAAATTGACTTCTCTGTAGTGAAATTTCCCCTTTCTCACACATTAATTATTCTAATAGCAAGTTTTGGAATGTCCTTGGGACATCCAAGACTATTAAGGGCCTAAACAACCCATGGGCTGCTGGTTATATACTTTTGTTTTATAATGCAACGGGATTTTTTTTTTAAATTAGAGGAGAAGAAGAACTAAGGATTCATGCTGTTAAAGGCCACTAAGTTAAGTGACTTAGTGTCAGTTTATGCAATGAGGGGTTAAGCCAAAGCTTCACAGAAAGAGTAAGTTTCAAGAAGGAATTTGAAGGAAGTGATGATACTCCATATAGATGTCTAGAAGGAATAAAGGAAATAAGCAAGGAAAGGGCAAATGTCCAAATCCTGTAGTTTTTTGTTCTGTAATCACTTTTATTCTATCAGTTATTTATTTTGATATTTAAAAAACACATGCTATTAACTATCCATTTCAGCCATCAGGTACAATGAAGGATGAGTTGATCCTACAGTATATCTGAATGCTTCTGTCTTACACTGGAAGGACTATGTCTCATTCACACATAATCAAGGGAAATGTGTTGCAGAATGGCATTTGTATGTATCAACTAGATTTTAAACCACCGCAGGCTATCATACCCTTAACGTCTCAAGCAGCAATCACTAATTTCTACAATGGTATCACAGAGGTCAAAACTGCAGCTTCTGGTTTGACAAGGCATTCTTCAGCCCAAATGTACACTAAAGAGTTGGAGATATTCAGGGGGGACAAAATGCACACTGCATACGAAGAGGTTTCAGGAGTGCTTCCCAAACCTAAACTCTGAAGCACAACAGAGACAAACACCATTCCTTTCTGAGCTACTGTATTCTATTTCCTCTGTCATATGTATGCATGTGATTCCTATGCACTGTCATAATAATGAGAGACCTCCTTCTAGCCATCCATTTTTTTTAAAAAAAAAGAATTAACTTGTGTTCACCTCTTTCATTTTCCCAAGCAGCACACAAAATACCCAGTTTGTTGTTTCTGATTTTGGAGGAAAGGTATACACCAGGTCTGAAAGAAGAGTCACACAGAGTAAAGGCTTTTTCACCCACTCATTCCTCTCCTCCTGCTTCCTCTGCCCCACTTGTAAATGCCTATCTGGATTTGATCTAAAGAAAGGATTATAGGGCTCGATTTCATAAAAACCTCATCTAATGCTATAATCCAGCATTAATGTAGTGAAGGTTGTAGGGTGATCATGGCCTTATCAGAAGAGATGGAGGAACAAGTAAATAGAGAGGTGGGAAAGAGAGAGGTGGGAAAAGCCCAGAATTATTTTTGACATCTAACTGACATGAGTTTGATAGTAAAAGTATTTTTGTAATCTATGCTTCATGGGATTTTATTGTATTTTATGTCTGATGTCTTGGTCCAAACATACATATATACATTCATATGTTTGTGTATACACACAGAGAAGCAAACATATAACAGGTAGCACTTGAACAGGAGATCCTAATAAAAATAGCCAGTGGGAAGACTCAAGATGTTTTTGTAAGAAATCAATGGGATGAAAGTCCCATGAACAGGAGAGCTATCCCATCTCTCCTTTCCAAGTGAAAACAAAATTATTTTAAGGTAATGAACATATGTGACAGAAATCTCCTCTTTGGCTGCTAGGAGTCCCCATCACAAATGCCCAGCAAAGGGATCCCACAAATAAACACATAAAGTTCCACCCTATACCAATCCTGCCTTTCTCTCTCTCTTCCAAGATTTTAGCAAGGATGCGTTCACAATAATCTGAAAACGACTTCAGACTCAGATTGGTAGAGGGACAGGTAATGGGGTGGGCCTTCTGTCACTTGCCAGTCATGGGAGTGGGAGGTGATATCACTTGCCCAAAATGCTGTGTCCATCTTTTCCCGGGTTGTCTAACCCCAAACCAGCTGCCATCTGGGGAGGGGAGGGGGGTTGGATTGTTACCTTCTGGATCTCCAAGGTCTTAGAGAAGAGGCATGAACGGAGGTCTCTCCTTCTCCCTCCATCGTCTACTACTCACCAGTGAGCATGGCGGCGCCCCCCAAGCCAGATCCCGGCGGCTCCATGGGCTGGGTAGGGGGGCCCAGCTCTGCCGCCGGGGGGGTGGGTGGCTTGCCAGTCCGCTTGCCGTTTCCCAGGCGAGAACGACTCGTCTTCGTCCCTTACTTCCCACTTTTCTTCCCAGTTCGTCCGCTGGCCCCTGTTGCTCTTTCCCACCACCTCTGCTGGTCCCAGTTGAGGTTCCCGACCCGGTCAAGTTGAGGCTCTCTCAGCTGGGATGGATCGCCGTCGGGAGGGCTGGCGAGGCGGTCTCTCTCGCGTGGGGAGGCGGCGAGTGTCCCCCGCAAGACCTTGACGTCGCCGGACCGCCTTGCCACTCGGCGTGGGTGCTTTGGGATGTGCTGGGGAGGAGGGTGAATGGGGGAGAAGGTGCGGGGAGGGGGAGAGGGGGCGGATCCGCTCTTCTTCCTGCCTCTGACGAGCCGTGCAGGCCGCTGGTTGCAGCGCTGGGGATGCAGCGGTGACGGTGCCTGTCACATGGAGAGGAGGAGGAGCCGGCAGCGGCCCGGACACCTCGGCCCGCCTTCCTTCTTTGCCCCGGGGCTGGAGGGCGTCCGCGGGTAGAAGCGCTCCAGGCAGACTCCCCGGTCCGAACCCCGCGGAAGACGGGCACGAGCCCGATCCTTGCTGGAACGAGGCGGGAGAAATTGAAGCGAGGATCCCTGGGTCCTGCTCTCTGCTCAGGCCGAGGCGGGAGATCTACTGAGACCAGGACGCCTGGGCTACAGAGAGCCGAGAATCCCAGGCTGGCCTGACGGCTCTGGACCGGCGGGGCGGAGGCGGCGCCAGAACTCCTGGACGCTTCTCTTCAAGGGAGGAAGGATGGAGTAAGAGGATCCTGGCGCTCCCCGGCTTCTCGAGCTGTGGGATGCCAACTGCGGGAGGAGAGATTCCAGGACATCTAGACTTTACCTTTGCGCGAGGAAGTCCGCCGGACTCTTGGCAAACGCGGAGAGGGACTGAACGCCTTCACCTGTGTTCGGACTAACATTTCCACCATTCCCAGACGCCACGAGGACACCTGTTTGGAAAAAGCTGGCCTGGAAAAAGTTAGGACTGAGATAGGCGGGCGAGCGGGAGGGGGGGGGAGAGAGAGATGTCCACTCCTCCGCTTTTCCAGCTAAACACCGCCCCCCCCATCCGCCCCCTTTGCGAGAGGGGTAAATCTTCCCTTGGTGGCAGCCAGCCCACGACCTTCTCGCCCCCTTCGCCTGATCCTTACTTGCCCCGCGGTTGCCACGGCAACCCAAAGCCACCATGACAGCGGAGGCGAGGGGGAAAAAAAGGGGGGGGTAGGTGGGAGAGAAATAAGATGCTTCCATGGTAACCTCTGGCCCCAGAAGAGTAGGATCATTCAAAAAGCTCCATGTCTTTTCTAAAGGAAGGTTTCCCAGGCCTAGATTGGCTCCGGAAAAGGACTGAAGGAGGTGGTGAGGACCTTTGGCCTGTTAGGAAGCATCATTTTGTAAGATGAGGGGGAAAACACGTTTGCTAAATGCCGTCAGAATCGGGAGGAACAGCAAGGTCATAGTTCATTTTTTGCAATTAGTCATAGGAAAGCTACTTATCACAGGAGCAGCTCATCAATACAACACAGTGATTCTAAACAAATTTAAGGTGCTTGTCAGGATTATTAAGGTAAAATATTTGAGTTGCTTTAACCAGAGTTCAGTGAGCTATAAACTCATACTGATCTAACAGAAAATCCTACTTTTCAATAGATATTAAAGGAGGCTGTTGTCTTTGCTATGCCACTGAATTCAGTATACATCCTAAATCTTAGTGATCTGGGCATGCTTTCACTTTGGCATTAGTTTAATGTCATTGGTTTTATTTATATGTACAGCATTTATTAGACATTCTTCAATAGAATTTCCAGAGGGGTCAAAATTAAAAACAAAAAATAAAATAAAATGTTGATATAAATTTGAGTGCAAACACAAACTGGCAAACATGACACATTAATTGGTTTTTATATCCTGTTTCAGTAAAAGTCATGGTTTTAAAAGGTGATCCAGCCAAGGATGTTATAAACTCTTCTAAATTGATCAGAATAGTGTTTTGCATTCAAAATATGTAGGTTGCATTGAAAAGGCATTTTGCATGCAAAATGGTTGAAACTCAGACATTTTGCGGAACCTAAAACAAAATTATCACACATTTTAGCACTCTTGACTCTAGACTGCCATTTAAAAAAATCATCTAGTAACTATCTTGGGAATTATCATTTGGTGTATTTGCAAAATCGTTCATTTAACTAATCAACTTTTACAAACTTGAGACTCTATTCTGATTTCCCAACCATTTGCATTAGTGCCCTCTACCCAGGATTCCTAAGCATGGTAACTTCCTTATGTCAATGATGCTTCCTAATCTTTTTTACCTTTTCCTCCTCCTCTGCATTTTTCTCATTTCTGCAAGATACTTCTATATTAGTAATCAAAACATTTCCACCATATATGTATATGTATTAATGTATACACGTATATGCACACACACCATCACAAAATAGTTGTCCAACAACTTAGTTGAAGCAGGGGAGTCTTTCAGGCTTTCTGGTATTCTTAAATACATTTTGTCAGTCTCTCATTTCTCTTTCTCCCAGTCCCAACATTGCAAAGTGTTGGCCTTGTTTGTCCTCTGGGCCTAGTACATATCTCTTATGCTTGATTTGCTCAGAGAAGGATCATCATACTTGGCAATAGGCTTGAAGGAAATCCATGCTTTCCATTAAGTGGAAAACAGAACAGTCAACAATAGAAATGAATACAAAACTGTAATTATTGCTCTATGCAAGATACCAAAATCAAGATCAGTTTGTTCCAGATTTTGGCCAAGAAAAAATCCAGGAGTCTTAGGAGGCAAGTAGAACTAGGCTAGTACCCTCGTTTATTTCTTCCACTGTAATGGGATATGAGAATTACCTTAGGAGACAGGAGGAAGAGCTGCAGACTAGGCAACCATCATGTAAAATATATCTTAGTTCACACAAGCAGAGAGGTGTAGGAAGTATTTCAGAAGAGACCCTAGTTTTCTGGAGAGTAAAAACAAAAAGGGGAGAAATATTTTCAGACTTGCAAGAGTCTGTTAACCTTAAATATAGAGCTAGTATTTATTGCTGTGGTTCATGGCTGAACTACTTTAAAGGGCTAACATCTAGCGTGTTTGCCCCCAAGCAAATGTCACAGTGTCTTCCCACTGCCTCTCTTGAATTTAAGTAATATATACCTCCCAGCCCCCTCCATCTTACTTACCTTTAGCTACCAGTAAGAACCATGTAAGCTCCAGGTCTGAGCATGGTTCAGTCCAAAATTGCAATACTTTGCATATCCCTCAGCAGCAAAATTGGATCAATCTATTGGGTTTATTCAGAGATTACACTTAAGCAGGTCAGCTAAATATTGAACAAGTGCATTTGCACATGCTAAGCTTGATAATAATTTTTACTATATTCTATTTTTTTAGTGTTGCTTAACATGGGTAAATCCAGCCTATTTGAACAGTGTATGGTTTAATGTTGGTCAGATTGAGCTATGAAAATTGTGATTAAAAAGGGGAAGGTTTACCTAGAAAATGGGATATCTCAGGAATCAGGTGGAAAGCGTTATGTGAAAGGATACGGAGTCATTAGAGTAAAAAGCAGGTAAATCAACTGTTCCAGCGGTTCTCAACCTATTTGGGGTCGATCGACCATTTCACGGGGGTCGCCAAGCAAGGCTGTCCGCCATTTTTTTTCCCTTTTCCGGCGGGTGCCTTACCTCCCTTGGGCTGGGCCAGCTGGTGGTCGGCCTGCTCCATCTCTGCCGCTTACCAGCTACGCCTTGGCCGGCGCAGGGGGCGGAACCACGCATGCGCGGCGCTCCCGGGCAGGGAAAGTCCTCGACTTACGACCGGTTGGGTAGTCCTCGACTTATGACCGGTTTAGTCCTCGACTTACGACCGGTTTAGTCCTCGACTTACAACCGGTTTAGTCCTCGACTTACGACCGGTTGGGGGTCGCGGCATTAAAAAGGTTGAGAACCACTGCTCTAGACAGCCCCAGCTCATCACTTTCAATTACCTTTGTTTTTCATTTATACATGGGAATAAGTATTTTATAATCAGGACAGGAAAAATTCTTTAAGGTAAGAATAGCTCTGCTGGATATGGTCAAAGGCAATTTTGTCAGCTCGTTTGTTTCTCCCTGTGGCCAGTCATATACCTCTGGAATGTTTGCAAGAAGAAAATGGAGACATACCCCTCATTCAATATTCCACCCTGTTCTTCTGCAAGAGGTATTTGGAGCCACTGTCCTTCCAGCATGGGAATATCCTTTATCACATGCGGTAGCCAGAAGTATTCACAATATTCCAGATGCAGCAGTATCACTGATTTGTATACGGGCATTGCACTGCACTTTTTCCCCCCCAATAACCTTTTTCCAGGGTGTTAACTTGAAAAAATACAACTGAGGAGTGTGATTGATGGCAGTTACGTTTTGAAAGGGAGGTCCTCTCTTCTATGCTAAAATATCACAATACCAAGATCGTTCAACTCTATCAAATGTCAAAAAACATTCATGAAATCTTCCTATAAATCTTATACAAATATATCTTATTTTTACTTTTTATATTGTATTTATTTTGATAGAAAAATATAAGCATATCATAAAACAAACAAGGGGGAAAATTAACTAGTAGGGATGTCAACTTTGCACAAATAAAACAGAAGTTATTCTTATAAAGCACAACTGAATGGAACCAATAGTGAAAATGGAAGGAAGACAAGAGTCCAGCACAAATACAGAATCTTTATTATTAATACAATTGTTTTAAAAAAGAAACCCTAAAATTGGAACCAGACGCGGGACGAAGTTCAAAGAGCCTAACACCCTCACTAAAAGTGGAGCTGCCCTTCCCCATCACTACCTCATGTCGCTGTCTCTCGTTCACCAGGGTTTCTCGTCATGTGTGCAGTCCCGGCTGCAGCAAGAAATCCATAATCAAATTTTCTTCTAGAAAACCAAAATTATTCCCTGTGGATCATAGAAGGTGGATACCTAGAGGAAAACGTCCCTTCTGTTCTCCTCAGCCAGATCTCTGAAACCTTGCAGTTCACGTAATCCCTTTAGAAAGAAAAGGAAGATGAGACTCAAATTTCTCTACGGATTCCTTTTATTTCTTTTTACAGTATAATAATGATCCCAAACTATATTAGAAAAAATATCCTCCTTGTCCCATAAAGGAGCTTTCTTGATCTGGTATGGGACCAAAGCACCTAATCTCTTCAGTCGCCATGGTACATGATCACGCTAGTTATGGATAATGGAAAAAGCCCTCCAACATATTTGCCAAGATTGCAGTTTGGGGAAGTCAGTCATAGAACAGCGCCCTAGGAAAGAGTAGCTTTTGCTCATTCTGTGCAACATTCTTCAAGTTTAGTTAGTTTCAACCCACCATCATTTCTCGCTCTGCCTGCCAGAAGAATGAATGCCATCTACCACATCCCCCCCATTTCTCCCCCAACAGTAAAAACTTTGTTGACCACATCCCATTACCTCTAAAACCATCCGGATATTGGCTTTTATTCTGGCAGAATCTTTAGTAAGAGTTTCACTGAGCCTGTTAAAAAAACAGAAAAAAATCCACAGGAGGTAATGGAGAAGGAAGGGTTGTCCTAATACATTATAACAGCTCTTGACCACCTATTGATGAAGACAATATGGCATACAGGGAGAAACTATTTTTATAGTGCGTGCTGGCAAATTTATCTGAATATGAATAAGAATGCAATCCTATATGAACCCACCAAAGTTCAAACTCCACTGAATACAAGCATGGATTAAGCAGCACAAAAGAAAGGGAGGACATGTTTGTTTTTGCACAAGAGACTTCATCTATGCTTGCTCGGCTCCATATTTTATAGTTTGCTGGAGCCTATCGAAGTAAAGAGGACATGTCCAGCTATGATGCAGAGCATGGCTGTCCACAATTCAGGCTCATCCTTCACAGAATTGGCTCTCACATTTTCAAAAGTATCCAAGTTATTGGTGTCACTTCACTGCCCATTTCCAATTCTACATTGCAAAGAAATTATTTTAATTGTGGTTTAGTTTTAATTTAGTTTGGTTATTACAATTCAGTTTTCATTTCTATTCTACAAATGAACTATTTTCCAACTATTGGAATATAATAGAACTATTGGTTGGAAATTGCTTTTACACTTATAGAAAGGCACTTTTGAAATGCAGTGGATACTTGCATTACTGTAAGTCATTTCGTGAGCCAGCTGATAGAGGCAGGATTTGAATAGGGGGAAATATTTTTTTTAAAAAAATCCCACTAATGGCTAGTATTTAAGGATATATTCCAATTATCAAAATTAAAGTTCCAGATTCAGAAAGTGCACTAAAAAATCAGTTTAGGAGCCAATCTTGCTTCTAATCATACACTTGCAGCCTCCTTCTTGCCCTTCCAATTTCCTCACTTTATAAATACAGTATTACTTTGTAAAGATGTAGCAATGACTAATGATAGATAGTTGCATGGTTTATACCAATACCATAAGGATGCACTTAGTTTACATTAATTTATATGAGATGGCATTCTTTCCAAACCCTGCAAATGTGTGATGGCTGATGTGTTAAAATTCCTTTGCCTCATGCACAGCAATACAAATTGCAGATTTTTCTATGCCAAAGAGTGACTATTAACCATTTTAAGCCACTAATATGTACATGCCCTAGAACACGGGTCGGCAACCCGCGGCTCCAGAGCCGCCTGCGGCTCCCAGCCTCCTCTGCCATTTGCAGAGAGAGAAACAGAGACAGAGAGAGGCACTTCCGCCTCCCTTCTCTCTCTCTCTCTCTCTCTCTCTCTCTCTCTCTCTCTCTCTCTCTCTCTCTCTCTGTGTGTGTGTGTGTGTGTGTGTGTGTGTGTGTAAAAAAGAGAGGGCTTCACCCTATTCTCCAAGGAGCTGACAAGCTTATTAGGCGGGGCTCCTCCCTTTGCTGCGTCTCTGCAGGAAGCAGAAAGGGCATGAGAGAGCCAGGCCAATAAGAATGCATGTCAGCTTGTTGGAGAACAGCTTGAAGCCAGCTTGCCAGGTGAGCAGAAGATCAGGGAGAGGGAGGGGGGAGAGAGAAAGAGAGAGAGTAAAGAGAGAGAGGGAGAGAGGAAGAGGGAGAGAGAGAAAAGAGAAAGAAAAAGAGAGAGGGAAAGAGAAAGAGGGGGATAGAGGGAGAGGAAAGAAAGGGAGAGGAAAGAGAAAGACAAAGAGAAAGAGAGGGAGAGAGAAAAAGAGGGAGAGGGGAGAGAGGGAGAGGAGAGAGGGAGAGAAAGAGAAAGGGGGAGAGAGGGAGAGGAGAGAGAAAGGGAGAAAGAGGGGGAGAGGAAAGAGGGAGAGAGAAAGAGAAGGGGGAGAGGAAAGAGAGAGAAAGAGAGGAAAGAGAAAGAGAAAAAGGAAAGAGAAAGAGAGAAGGAGAGAGGGAGGAAAGAGAGAAAGAAAGATAGGGAGAGGAGAGAGAGAGAGAGAGAGAGAGGAGAGAGAGAGAACTCATGCACAGCAGCCTCTATTTCTTTTTAATTAAACTCTTTAATCAAGCTCCTTTCCTGCACAAGTTTTGTGGCTCCCAGTGTTTTCTTTTCTCTGGGAAACGGGTCCAAGTGGCTCTTTGAGTGTTTAAGGTTGCAGACCCCTGCCCTAGAAGAATAGATCTAATGAATCAAATATTTATAAAAAAGACTGGCTATACTATAATCTAGTCTCATCTTCTTCCTACATTCAAGCATCTTGTTCTGCTTACAGCAGTCAGAAAACATGCTACTGAAGAACAGCTAGAGAAGGATACTATTCCCAGGTTTTACCAAATAGACACAACAGAGCAAAGCATTTCTTTCAGTAATGTGATGAGAATAGAAAATATAAAGACTCAATTCTTCTACTCACTCAGTAAGCAACTTGGTCTTCTTCTCAATAAAGGTTAGCGCCTCTGGTAGAGTCAGTTCCACAAAGAACCCATAACCCAAAGCTACAAATATGGTGGATGTATCAGGCCTGCAGGCAGGAAAAGGAAACTGAGTACAATTGGCATTAATGTGGCCACAGAGATAACAGAAACAGCAACTGGGATTCTGTCTGCTGAGGACACTATAAAAGTTCAGGTTACATGTTTTCTAAATTACATGAGTTAGTTTCATTTTGAATTGTACAGACCTAGCCATTTGTGATTTCTTTAATAAAGGCTAAGGAAACCATGGTTGCATATCATGTAAATCCAATCATAATTTATATTATGAAGAAAAATTGCAAGTATATCTCAGAGAAAATGAGCTATCTCTCCCTATTTTCTTCATTAAGGGATAAACTGACAAACACCAGGAAGATTTGAGATGTAAAATATACCACATTGAGGTAGAACATACTGAAATTAGTTAGATAATAAACCAAGACAAAAATGGAATAAAGTAAACAAAGCATACAATGTAGTATAATAAAGATTTCCTTCAGTTGAGATCAACCTCTAGGTAACTATATGAATATTAGCTGTTGGATGCAAAATGGAAATGATTTACCACTGTCTTTATTTGGAACTTTTTTCAAGCTTCCCTATCTAGTGTCCAGATCCAGGATTTCCTGGTTGTCTCCTATCCAAATACTATCCAGATCTGTTCCTATTTAGCATTTTTTGGATTAGTCGAGGTCAGCTAGATACTGCCATCTGCTGTGCATCCGGTATTTCTTTTTCCAGTTTTGAAATATTTAGGTGAAAGCAGTATAACCGAAAGTAACAAGATGAGTTAATTTTTTTCCTATAAAAGGAAAAAAGATCTAAGAGAAGGATAACAAAGTGAAAAAAGAGTTGACTTTGTACATTGTTTTTCTATAAATTGTTGTACTTCCCTGCTCCCATACACATATACATGTAAAGTTATTTTTCCAATATATTACACATTTGTACCAAAAAAAACGTTGCAGGATGACACAGAAAGAGAGCGCCATACTGTCCATTAAGCCACCAATACTTTTTAAGGGTGGCTCAACATTCATGGATGATAAAAGAAGAACTTGTTGAAAAGAAAAGAAAAGGCAAGAACTACAATAGGATGCAATAACAATTTTCTAGCGAATTTAGCCCTTTGCTTATGTTTATTAATGTTTATTTTTTTCTGTTCTTCCCAGCTACTTCTTCCCCTTGTCTTATCTCTATCCAGTTCATTTTCTTTCCTCTCCCCTTCCCAGGACAGCTCCATATTCCTTATCGTGTGGAAGGAGAGAAACATGCCCTTGTGCATGGGTTATATATGAAGATAGCAATTACAGGTAATCTTTGACTTAGGATCAGTTAATGATGGTTCAAAGTTAGGATGGCCTTGGAAAAAGTGATTTACAATTTGTCTTCACCCTTGCAACTGTCACAGCCTCCTCCAGTCACATGATCATAATTTGTGATTTTCCCAAACAGGGAAGCTAGATTTGCTTAACAAATGTAGTGAACTGCTTATCTAAAATGGTAGGTGTTTTTTTTTTTTTTTTACCTAAAATAGGTAAAAATAAATGTAAACCCGGTTCTGGTGACATGACGACTCACTTTAACAATCGCTCTGATAGAAATTCCTGCCCCAATTGTTGTAAGTCAAGGACTATTTGTAAGTAATTTTGGAAACAGAGTAACTTATTTTAAAGACAATTTATTTTAATCAATCAAGATCTGAGAGATTATCTTATTCATCAACAATTATCTACCTTTGTTAAATATTTTTCATTCTTGTACAGAAACCTGTAAAGTTGTATTTAAACATTTCTGGAGCCAGCTTTTCATCACTGGTGTTTTTGTTTGGCAAACACAATCTCTTTCTGCTTATAGCTAATGTGTGTTCACACTATCCTTGGTCCTCTGCTATTATGAAGGGGAAAGAAAGAAGCGTGATTTCACACTCAGCCACCTGGTCTTTATACTGGGCAACGCTAGCGGGAAAGCAGCCTAAATTTGGCTCTCATTCTGCACATTATCTTTCAACGCACAACCTTTTGTTCTTAACCACGCATGGGCTCATCTGGGGATAAAATATCCACAAATCATCAGCACCCATTTATAATGAATTTGTAAATTTCAGGGCACTAAAATTGAGGGAAAAGTTGAGAACATTTTTATATCATATTTTCCCAGGCTGAAAAAGGAAATGTTAATATTTTTTCCACACAGGGAAATTTGGCTAAAAGAGTTAATTCTCTTCAGACGCATATTCTGACAGAGGGGGTGGGGGGAATGAGGAGAAAAGACAAGACTGCTCGTCTCTCTTCTGACTTTGCCTTTTTTCAGTGTTCCATCTTCTTTTTAATTTTTATTATCATTTGTTAAAAACAATGTTTCCTAAACTGGCAGAGTCATTTCAGATCACAAGATGGACAACATATATATGTAATGTATTGTATGTATTTAAAAAAAAAACCTGAATCTAAAACATTTTATTGTGCAACCCAAAGAGTTTTCTCCAGAATATTTTACCACCAAGAATAGCCTGAGTGCATGACTCATCATTCTGAGCATGTTTCCTGATTGAGAGGATGGAAGATCAGATAAATGGCAGGCAATCTCCTCAGCAGATTTACCCATTAGTCCAACAAGAATCTTTGATTAAATCATTTTTCACACTTCATGTAGAGCTTTCTCTTGCAATGAAACACGAAAATTATGGCTTTAGAAAAGAGCTGGATGTTTTATTTTGGGATTAGCTGGCAAATTACAGCATACAGTATATAAATGATGCTCTGTAAATAAAGATCAGTCTTTACAGCTGTCCTATGACAGCCTAACAAAAAAGGAAATCATTTACAAGAACTCAGCAGAGATTCCTTTCAAAATTTCAACTTGAGAACCCTATTGTGCTATTCTTTCCTTACATTTAAAGAGAAGAATTTTAATTTTCTGTTTTTTTCTAATGAAAGATATCTCAACCTTTTAAGAAGTGTTTAGGGTTAAGAAAAACATAAGGTTGGGCCATGAGGAGATGTATAGACTCTTTCTGTTATAATACTGTAAATCAGGTTACATAATACTACAGTATAGAGGCATCCAATGGTGGGAGAATCAAGACAGAAAAATAGTTTTCAGTAGGAAATAGATAAATCTGGGAAAATTGGAACTATCAGTGATTATTAATTATGACAATTATAAAAATCTGATAATTGTATTCTATGTGAATGTTTTTATGAATCTCTGGCAGGAAGTTATTTGGCCTATTTTAAAATCCAAACCAGGATGAGATATTTCTGAGTACAGGTAGTCCTCAACTTACAACCACAATTGAGCCCAAAATTTGTTGTTAAGGGAGACATTTGTTAAGTGAGTTTTATGACCTTTCTTGCCACGGTTGTTAAATGAATCACTGCAGTTGATAAGTTATTAATACAGTTGTTAAGTGAACTGGGCTTCCACATTGATTTTGCTTGTCAGAAACCTGCAGTAGGTGATCATATGACCTTGGGCACAGAACTGGGCTTCCACATTGATTTTGCTTGTCAGAAACCTGCAGTAGGTGATCATATGATCTTGGGCACAGCAACGGTCATAAGTATGAACCAGTTGCAAATTATCTGAATTTTGATCACATGATCATGGAGAATGCTACAAAGATTGTAAGTGTGAAAAATGCTCTTACGTCACTTTTTTCAGTGCCATTGTAACTTTGAACGGTCACTAAATGAACTGTTGTAAGTCAAGGACTACCTGTATATAAACATTTTACTTGCAGATGAAAATCCCAAGTTTACAGTGACAACAGCCAGATTTTTAACAGCTACAAAAGGTTTTTAGTAACAAATCAAGGAGTTGGGGTGTTAAGTGTATTATGTTATAGTTATTAAATATTTTATTTGTTAAATTGTTTTATTTAATTCCAAATTAGATTATATTTGTAATTTGCTTTTGGGCCTTTTGGGCATAAATAAAATCACATCAGCTGCCAAGGAAGAATAATACAAGAAGCTATAGTGTTTATGTTCTTTTCATTGACTTCATAGTTGATCTCTGGGAAAAACAGGATGCCAGTCCAGATAAATATTAATTTAGCATGCAATTTGTTTATCCTCTTCCAGATACTCTTTTATTATCCGAAATGCTTCAAACCTATCGCTCAGACACAGGTAGATCAAATTAGTTTTATGAAGTATGATCATCGCCAATAATAATCACTTATAAATTTCAAAGTGCTTCATATTGAGTCTAATCTCACAAAATATTATCATTTCTATTTCACAACATCTGTATGACTGGCAGTCATTGAAGGAGTGCAGCCTTCTTCTCAATCATGAAGAAAATTAAATAATCAGTAAATAAACTATCACAGTGAATAAAATGATTTGACTGCCACTGCAAAAAAATTAACTGCTAGTAGATACATGAAGAACACTTATCTTGCAAGAGAGAATTGGACTAAATAGCCCTCTAACTCATTTCAACTTTTACAATTTTACCAATTGGTGTCTCGAGAAAGTCATAATAATAGTGCTTTTAATTGAATTTCTCAAAAGTTGCAGAACATATAAAAACATAAAAGACTAGAAAGCTGTTTGGCATTGGATACATAGAAGATCGGTGAGCTACTCACACTTCTGCATTGACATAAAAATGGCAGCCCAGATCCACTTGAGTATTCAGCTCCTGGCTTCCTGTTTCCTAAAAGAAAATAACAAATTTACCTGGGGTACAGCAGCTCTTGATTATTATCTCCTAGTGTCTACTACAACAGAGCACTACATCACATGATTGCAAAGTACTATAAACTGGTTGGAAAGATTTTTGAATTACCTGTAAACGTTCAATAATGTTCTTGAGTTGCAAATACTGAGCAATTTTTTCATAAACCTCATCTCGCTGCTCCAACACTTTCCTGTGTAGGGAAATATCAATGTCTTAAATATCAATATCAATGACTAAGAGATTTAGAAAGCATGACATATAAGAGTTAACAGAAGTGAGGTAGTTAAAAGGTGGACTTGGAAAGGGATTATTTTTAAAAATCACTCACTTAAGGTCTCTCTGCAAAACATCACTGATAAATGCTTCATATTGAAGCACTTTCTCTTGTAGCTGCTGTTCACCAAGCATCACCATGAGACTTCCACAGAAAATATTAGTAAACAAGTCCTGGATGGAAAAAATATAAGGTTAATTGGAAAAAATATCTGTAAGTGGGGAAAAAAACAGATTTTGAAACGATAGTCCACCAGACATGCTTTTTCAAATGATATTTTGTATTGTCTACAAAAAAAACCTGTATGCACCCCATGTTATTCCCCATCATTCTCCCTCTTCCGGCAGTTTTCATAGCTATCTAATTTGAATATCTACCCCACGTAAACCAGGTCAGCCCATGAAAACCATAAATACACATTCAGGTATAATAAGGAAAAGGCAGAATTCCTAGCCCTTTCTCGAAAACTCAAAGAGGCCAAGTATGCGATTTACAAAGCTAGGAAAGCAGCTCCGACGGGTCGCTCTACGAGAAGCAGCACCAGGGAGCCTGTCCCTTCTCCACTTCCGGGCTCGTACGCCTTAAAAGCGAGGTTAGGCTGTCCTCAGACTCAGGCTCAGGCTCGCTTCCGAGCACGTCAGAAAGGAAGGGAGCTAGAAGAAGGGAGTCACTTTTGCCCTCTCCGCTCCGGCGTCCGACGAGGCCAAGTGGTTTTACTTTCCCACTGCTTAACTGCGCGACATCATGGGGCGGACTCGCCCGACCTGGTGAACTTCCAGATATTACGGCGCTTGCTTTCCAACAGAGGCTGGGAATAGGGAGAGGGGCACCAATGAAGGGCAACTAGTCTGCTGCGATGAATTTCAGAGACAAATCAGTATCTCTTTTTATAGCAACGGGAGGGCGCCATGCCTCCTTTATCCCGAGTCTCCCTTCAGTTTTCATTCGGGCTCTCGAGACATAAAGGACATAAACATGACACCAGAAGTGAACGGGTACTTCCGGTTTCTCGGAGCTCCCGCCCCTTAGAACAATTACTACTAAGCAGGGTTGCCAAACTGGCGGCCCGCGGGCCGGATGCGTCACGCGCAGGCCACGCCCATCCCGGCTCCGCAAAAGGCAAAAAAAAATCTCCGTCGCGATACGTCACGTGACGCGACCTAGTTTGACCCCCGTGAATTACAGGAGTGGTCCCTTGGTCTCGCCGTCTCCCGCGATGACGGTGCCGGACCTGCGGCTGGACCCTTCGATTCGCTTCTGGATTTTGCTGCCCGTGGCCTGGATCGCGCTGGCTGTGGGGATTCTGCGGCTGCGCGTGGCTAAGTTGCTGCGCGGCGAGCGCCAGCCGGCCTGGCCTGAGCAACGGCAAGACACGTGAGTAGCGGGGAAGGGCTGCGAAGGACGCGCCGACACGTTCCAAAGGGTTTAAAGTTTAAAAGCAGGGGTCTCCCACCTTGGCAACTTTAAGACTTGTGGACTTCAACTCCCAGAATTCCCCAGCCAGCACAGCTGGGAGTTGAAGTCCACAAGTCTTAAAGTTGCCAAGGTTGGAGACCTCTGGTTTAAAGGACGGGGAGGGAGGCGAGAAGCGCGAGCCCAATTGAATGGTCAGGTCCGAGGATTCTGTCGCACTTGGCAAGATAAATTCTTGGGTGGGGGTTGCTACTTATTTCTTGGCCGGTTTTTTTTTCCCCCTCAAACTTGGCAACTTTCAAATGTGTGGACTTCAAATCCCAGAATTCCCAAGCCAGTATGCCAAAAGTAGGAACACAGACTGGTTAAGAACAGGTAGTCTGCAACTTACATCAGTTCATTTAGTGACCGTTCGAAGTTACAAGGCACTGAAAAAAGGGACTTGTGACCATTTTTCCACCTTTCTAGCATCCCCATGATCATGTGATCGAATTCAGATGGTTGGATTTAATATAAATCCAGTAATAATGTAAAATCAAAATACCCACCAGCAGCAATAAATGCCACAATAGTAGAGCAGGCTTACAACCTGCACCCCCCCCCCCTTTTAATCTCAGTCTGAAGCAAAGATAATATGTCATCTTTCCTGAAAAAGAGGGTGAAGGGTTGAAAAGAGACCTTAGACCAGTGGTGATGAACCTATGGCACGGGTGCCAGAGGTGGCACTCAGAGCCCTCTCTGTGGGCACTCGCGTCATCGCCCCAGTCCTAGGTCTTCAGCTGGGTTTTATAAAACCTCTTCACTTTAGGCCTCCGCCGCTGTGTGCAAAAAAAAAAAAAGGTTCAATCAATCAGTCAATTTCAACTTCTCGCGGGGAAAAAAAAGATCTTGCAAAATTGGAATTGATTGATTGGTTGAACTTTTTAGTCCCACCCAGTCTGCCGTTATCACCGCAGCCACGCCCACCCAATGGGACACACCCACCCGATTGGCCATACCCAGCCAATGGGCCTCACCCAGCCAATGGGCCACACCCACCCGGCACCCGATGATACATAAGTGGGTTTTGGGTTGCAGTTTGGGCACTCGGTCTCTAAAAGGTTTGCCATCGCTGCCTTAGACAAAAAAAAGTTCCATAATTAGGGAGCAACCAGCTTGTTCTCTTTGATGGTTCTCAGCTAAAAGTGAGCAAATAGTAAACTTCAAGATAACAATATAAACCTGTATTTCTTAAACTGTCTTCCACAAACTTCCTCAAGAGCATACTATCTTTTTCTTCATGGTGTCTTTGTGAAAAGTGGATTTTCAGCAAGCTACAATCAAGGTCAAACATCAAGAACATTATGCTCATTCTTTTTTAAAAACCAGCTCTTGTTCCAGATAGAGAAAAAAATACAAGCTTGCACCGCCTATTAATGATTTATAATTGGTGCATTAAATAGAAAATAAAGATTATGAACATATTTCAATATTCCTTGCATTTCCCTTCCCCCTTTTTAAGGAGTACACAAGTATTGTACTCCTTATAAAAATATTTGGGGATATTTCTGTTGAAACATTTTGAAAAGTTTCAGAAACATTCATGGAAGCCTGTAAATATTTTCAGCTATACAATATACTAGGTATTGTGAAGATACAAGGCAAGCCCATTGATTTTTAATCACTTACAATACCATGTCTCCATAATGCAACTCTATGGTTCCCCAAGTGGCTTCCAATAATATCCCATGTAAAGGCATAGGATGCTGACTTCATAATGGCAAGTATATGAAGTTGTTGTAAAATATACAATGCTTCTTGAATAGAGTTATTTTGCTGATCATGAGGAATTCTGGAGGCAAAGAAGACTTGCATACCAACCCTGTTTTTTAATTGCCTATTTCCAGTGTCATGTTAAAGACATTTGAACCATGTCAACTAACAGCTGCAAAAATATACTGGGGGAAGTCACAATAGGAATCATGTAACGTTTCCCATAATACTGCAAAAATCAAGGAGTCTGATTAACACCTTTTAAAACTGTCACATTTTATTAAAAGAACTTCTCATTTTTGATACCAACAAAGCTTTTCTCTTACAATATCTATAATAATGCATGGGATTCTAAGGGACCCAGTTATGACTAAATTTCATAGACTACTTCATCCGTGCCTGTAAAATGCCATCTTAAACAACTGTATGCAGATGGTGGATTGTGTTTGGGAACAGTGTGTTTTTTGATGATATATCTGGATTTGCAGATCAGATAATCTCTTGGGCTAGCAAATTCTGTTATTATTACAACTGAACTGAGTGCTCTATCTGTCAGGCAAATTCTGACTCGTAGCCGCCTCTTGAGAGAAAATGGACGGTTCCTAACTCATCAGGTGAGAGAATAAAGTCAGCCTCTTCTTGAACACCCCTAGTCCTTAGACAGATTTTGGCAGATACCCATCAGAAGCTTCTTGGCATTTCAAGCTGCATGTGCTTGTTCCTGTAAAAACCAGAACTTTGCTAAGAATGCAGAATGAACTAACAAACATAATCGAAGTGGATTTTGCTGCTGCTGCTGCTGTTGTTGTTTTGTGATACTTACCTCAGATTCTCTCAGATAACAACTGTTCCTGGACCAAGACTGTTTTTGGATACTGTTTGAATGAACCTTATTTTAACTTCTGTATTATTACTGTCTTCCATTATTCCACAATTGTTGGACTTATTGCTGGTTTTATTTAAGGTTGTTCTTGTTTTGTAAATGTCTCTGGTAATACTATTATTTTAATGTGCCTACCTATATTAGTGTTTGACCCTTGCCTATGCATCTCCCCATCCACCTGCCCCAAATCAAAATGACATCCATCATAATGGATGGCACTATAGACTATATGAACTTATGTGCTTATCTGGAATTAGAGCTGGCTGATCAATGTACTTACTTTCTAAATCTAGATGGATAGGATTGAAGTTTAACAGACTAGCTGAAGGCAAACCTACAATAGTGCTGTACGTAAGTAAGGTATGCTAAAGATTTCAAATAGAATGCCAAAGAGGTACTGTAAGCACCCAAAAAAGAAATTATCAACATGAACTATGTGTATTTTTCTTTTCTGAATAGCCCAAATTTCATCTCAATTTTTGTGGCCTCTTTTTATTTTTTTCCAGGGTTTTCTTATGCGCAAGCATTACTTCAATAATTCTGAAAGTGGCTTCTTTCGCACAACTAAACGCAAACTGCAGTCCCGGAACCCGCTGACAGGTAACAAGGATGACTGGTTTGTACTCAGAGCAGGTAGCAGTGGCAGCTAAGTGGACTCAAGCCAGTTTTTGCCACTTTCTGCCCTAGTTGAAAAGATTGTTATGCTGTAGAAAGGGTGCCAGTTTAGGGCATCAATGTTGACTATACAGATTTTGATGTATATCAGTGTTTTTCAAACTTGACAACTTTAAGATATGTGGGCTTCAACTCCCATAATTCCCCAGCCAGCTGATATATATGACTATTATTGAAGCTTTCCCAAAATAGAGCTGTCAGTTTACACAACAAGCTCTATTACCGCCCTCCTCATTTTTGTCACTGTAACATAAAACAGCCAAGGCTCTCCCGTTAAGAGGGGAGGCATTAAACAATGTTGTCTTAAGGATCTCTTGTAGATTCTGTTATGGAAAATATTTTTATGTGGCTTCTGTGTGTGGCAGAAGGTTGTTAAGAAAGTTCACAAGTACTACACTCCATGATTTGTAGGGACATCCATTGAGTGTGTATTCTCTATTAACTTTCCATCCTTCCAACATAAATTTTGCCATGACTTCGAGCAGAGGTCCCCAACCTATGGGCTGCGGCCCACTACCGGGCCATGGCCTCTTAGCCACTGTTGCCATGAGTATTGTGCGGGAGGTGGCAGCGCGGCTAGTATCACGCGGGCGGTGGCGTTGCCATGAACCTTATGCGGGGGGCCATGATGCAAGCCTTGCTCCAGGGTGGCATCGCTGCAGGTCGCAGCATGAGCCTCGCACTGGGGCGGCGGCACAAACCTCACACTGGGATGGCATCACTGCAGGCCGCGGCGCAATCCTTGTGTGGGGGCAGCGGCGCAAGCTTCACACTGGGGGCAGCATCACCAGGATCCTGGTGATGGCGCCACAAGCCTCACACAGGCGCCGCCATCACTGAGAGCCTTGCGCACATTCTCACAGCCCCATTTGCGTGGTACGCATGTTCGCAGCCTGTTTGTATGCACATGTGGCTACATTCATGTTTGCGCATGCACGCATAAGGGCCTGGCCCTCCCTCTCCCACCGGGCCGCCAATCCAAAAAGGTTGGAGACCCCTGACTTGGAGAATGAGAAATCTAGTGAATGGTTGGTTTCAGTTTTCCCTTTGCTTTTATTTAATTCAGTAGGGAATAGGAAAATTGCTTTGCTTCTGGTTTGCTCCCTGCACCCATTCCCAATACAGAAATCATACTGCAATGCTTATAACGAGGTCCTATTGGATAGACACACCCATCACCTTTTCCCTTTTGAGGTAAGCACAGTAATAGATAAACACAGAAAAAGAGTACAAAATAGTAAGCTTAAAGGACTAAGACATAAGATAAGGTAAATCTAGCTGAATGGTTTAATTCAATATCCTTGCCTCCACCATAACCTCACTGCTTTGTACATTGCCTTTTTAAAAATTTCACTCTTTTTCCATCCAATGGAGGATCCTCCAACCATAGTTCCAACATGGTCTTCCTCTTCTCAAGCCACTTGCTCTTATGCACGTTCAAGTCATACACATTCTTTGGAATATAAACATTAAATTATATATTACTAAATTAGGCTAAGGTACGTGATTATCCCTGCAAAAAGAAATGAAGTTTTGATAAAAGACAAGGTTCAGAGCAGGGAACAATTCTGTTCCCCCTTTGACTTTGTCTTTGTCATCTTGACTGAGAGCAACTTTCAAGGGCAGCTCTTGCAGATGGTTTCCTTAAGCCTTATTGGGATGCAGAGTCTCAAACCTGCTTTCCCCTATACCAGTGGTGGCGAACCTATGGCACGGGTGCCAGAGGCGGCACTCAGAGCCCTCTCTGTGGGCATGTGCACCGTCGTCCCATCCTAGGCCTTCAGCTGGGTTTTATAAAACCTTTTTGCTTTAGGCCTCCTCCACTGTGTGCAAAAAAAAAAAAAAAGGTTCAATCAATCAATCGATTTCAACTTCTCGTGGGGAAAAAAAAGAACTTGCAAAGTTAGAATTGATTGATGGAACTTTTTAGTCCCACCCAGTCTGCCATTACCAGCGCAGCCACGCTCACCCAATGAGCCACACCCACCCAATGGGCCACACCCACCCGGCACCCGATGATACATAAGTGGGTTTTGGGTTGCAGTTTGGGCACTCGGTCTCTAAAAGGTTCGCCATCACTGCCCTATACAGTACATACAAAAAACATGACCACTTTCTACTATATGTTGCCCCTTGCACATTTCCTCCATTGCTCTGCCATTGAGCCTGGTTTCCTTATCCTTCACCTTAAACTTTGTCTTTCCTCGGTCTTCTTCTCAATCTTATGGGAGTGCAACAGTCTGAAATGCCTGGGAATGTGAGCAGATTGCTGCTGCTTTTGATCGTTTTTGTCAGACTGTCCTCTTGCTTTAGCACCAACTGGTAAAGGGAGGAGGGGCATTGCCAAGCTGGTAGCCACTTCATAATAGTCTGGAGGCTCCAGGCTCCTAAGGCAGAGACACATGGCCTTTAGAAATCTTTGGTGGGCCCAATCACCTCTCCAAATCTTCTATCATAGGTTGTCCAGTACGTGACAGCAAATCATATTGACTACAGTATTCAATTTTAAGTACACAGCACTAACTTTAATTTTTGCCATTGCTCCAGCCATTAAATGTCAACCTCAGAAGTTTCATACCCGTGCCCTAAAGAATTTCTAATCTGCCAATTAAGATAAGTGCTTTAATGTAGGACCCAGGCTTAACAGTTTGCCAACATAGCCCATACTCTGTAACTAGCGGACTTTGGTGGTCTGTGTATTATGCTGATTAAATAACATTTGTGTTTGATCAGATTCTTCCAATCATGGAAAGCAGAAGAGAGCCCTGTGGGGCACCAAAACATTTTCCTTGGTTACCATGGTTCAAAATTGCCATCCCCATCCCTGTATTGCAATATTTAAATAGAGTAGGGATTACCTAAACACAACCGCTGCAGATCAAAACTTTTAAAAATAGGCCTGAGTGAAAGTTGGCTCGGAGGCTAACTTTAATATGCCTTAAATATTCTGCAGTTTTTCTATACGGATAAACACATTATGCTGCATAGTTAGGGCTCTAATTTAACACTTCCTTTCCCTTTCCTTTAGATCCCACAGTGGTTACAGAGATGATGAAGGGCAACCTTATCGATGTTCTGCCCATGATTCTCATTGGAGGCTGGATCAACTGGGCCTTCTCTGGCTTTGTGGCTAGTGAGTGGAGGGGAACCGTTGAGGGGAAGTGACAAAGCGTTTTGTCTTTAGTTTCCTATTTATTCGATATTTTCTATTGTTCAAGGTCTCCTTCAGGCTTGTGAAGATTGAGTTAAAATTATTACAACCTACAATATTTGAAGAATGACTAATTAAAATAGTGAGACTGATGAGGGGAGCAATAACTCTGCTAATGTACAATGTGGTTTACAGTTCTTAGTTTAGCTGATCTGTGAGGTACATCCCATTTTATATTGTTACAAATGTAGAAGTACAGGCGATTGGTTGCTTGCTGCCCTCCAGATATGCTGACACCCCAATTCCCAGGACTATTCAGCCAGCATGCTAGCTCAGCACATCTCCAAGGCACAGCTTGGGGATTGCTACTATAGCCTCTGAACCATGGACCAGGAGTGTTTCACTTTGTTTACTTCTACCTTGAATCTTAGGTTAGCCATACATCTCCCCAGATTTAATTTGTAATACAGGAAGGAAAATGCAGCATTTCCACTGTAACAACATAATGGTCAGGTTTGGAATGCTTTGGGAAAAAGCAGCAAGAAGTACATGGTCCAGCAGTTTTAGTTGAGATTTCCGTCTGATCTGTAGATGGGTGTCATATCTAAAGCAACAAGGAGCAGCAATTTGGAAAGGTTGGGGAGCTGGGGATTGAGTGGTGAGGGTAGAATTTGGAGGGAGAGGCAACTCTAATCCCTCTCCCTCCCAACCTTCTAGCTAAGGTTCCCTTCCCCTTGACCCTGCGATTCAAGCCCATGTTGCAGCGTGGAATTAACCTGCCTTCCATGGATCCCTCGTGGTAAGCCGCCATCTGCCCCAGGTCTAGCCAGTCCTTTGGGTGGCAAGATGGGAAAAGGACATTGGTTGTGGGGTAGAGGACTGGTGAGCAAGATGGCTGTTCAGGATAGTTACTGAGAACTGTTCTTTTCCCAGGGTGAGTTCTGCCTCCTGGTATTTCCTCAATGTCTTTGGTCTGCGGAAAATATACCAACACGTTCTGAGAGAGGACTCTGGTGAGAAATTGTTCAAAAGAATGGACCATGTGTGGGCCTAGTAGTCTTTCAAGGGAGCAAGCTAACCCTAGAGACCAGGATACAACGCTCGCAATTCCAACTGCAATCTGAAAACAGGAAGAAAATATTCCACAAACAGTAGAGTTGAGCAGTGAAGAGTGCTAGAGGGGACAGCGTAGCCCTAAATTGTGTTTGAATTGTTCCTAACCTACTACATGGTAAGGTCTGGCTTTCAGATCTAGCTTTGTAAATGATTACAGAAATAGGATGCTGCGCCTCCTACAAGTCCTATTTGCAGAACAGCATCTGCCACCTTCGTTTGTGGTATAATAAAAGCTCACTTGATGCATTGAATCACAAACTAGCCAACCACATTGTAGCTTAGCATGTGGTATGAATTTAGTTTGCCTGATTACTTTGTGGTTCAGTGTGCCACGTGAATCTAGCAATTGGGTTAAGTTAAACCATCTTCTGAGTGCAGCATGAGAACTAAGTTTTATTTATTTCAACTGTCAGTCTAGTCTATATTACCTTTTCAAGCAGGATTCAATATTTCAAGATTATTGTTTTGACTGATTCTTTTCCCAAAAGAAAATATCCCTCCTCTCCACATGCATTCGGTAATATCTTCATTCTAATTTTCTTAGAGTACATCTTATTTAGTTATAAATGTGCACTTTATAATTGTTTTGTCCTTAGAATTACAGGGAAATGATTTCAGGGATAGCTATATCACTCTGCTATAGTAGTGGAAACCTTTTTGATATTCTACAGTCTCAGATTTATTGTACACACATCTTCGTAGAGTAAATCTCACTAGGCTATTATGCTCTCATACTATACTTATTAATTCTTCTATAATGTACTGTAGAAACCTTACACTTAACAAAATGTGGTCTGCTGAGTGACTTGACGTTAGTTTCCATTCTGCCTTTGGCAGAATATTTGCTTAGCAATTAGCCTAAATAGGTTTTCATTCTCACAAATTCGTACTTACCTTTCTTTCCTTAACCGCAGAGCCAAGTCAACTCAAAGTACAGTTCATGGGCCCAGACATTCCTGCTCCACCCGATCCCAACAAGGCCTTCAAAGTAAGGTTCTTTATTCCACTGAATAATTCTACTGAAAGCGTAAGTCAGGTACAGGGAACCAGGGGGCCTTCAGCTATTACCAAACTGCAATTCCCAAGATCCCTCACCATTATCCATATTGACCGGGCTTCTATAAGAGTTGTAGAGGATCATAGGTTTTCAGCTCACTATATGAACTTCAATTTAATTAGGATTGTTAAAATTTCCTTTGGATCGGAATAACCTCTGTCAGGAAATAGATGGGAAAACAAACTTATTTCATATAAACCAAAACTATAGTTAAAAAAAAATAAATTATGTTGGATTAATATATAACAGGAACAGGTAATCTTTTTCAGGAAGTGGGCAGACAGGGAATTTTGACAGCATGAGCAAGTATCTTCATAAAATGCCTTCCAAGGCAGGCATGGCCTATCACAAAACACCCTTTCAGTAGGTGCCAAATGGGTGGTGTTACTCCCACTATAGAAACAGATGCTTCCAAATACTGCAACTTAAAACTTTGCCCCTTTTTTTCTGGATAATTGGGCACTCTTCCCATTCACCATTTAAAAAAAAAATACTCCCAAGATGTGCATTTTTTTCTTAATGTGAAAACTAAGTCTAGTGAAAGTCATTTAATTTGAAGCCTGGGCTTTGATTCTGCCACTCTTGTAAGTTGGTAGGGCATTGGTGGATGCAATAGTACTTGTGAGCTGGATCCCCAAATTACCAACAAACTCTTTCTTTTATTTCAGGCTGAGTGGGAAGCCTTGGAATTGGTATCCCACCACTGGGCTCTTCAGGATGTTGAGGAACAGCTGATATCACAGGACCTCAAGTTGACCGGGATGTCCAGGCCAGATTGAGCTCTACCAGTCTGCTCTGGAGTATAATCCTACAGGACAGCAGTGCCCAGAAACACTCTGTTCATTATTAGAAATTGGTGGCTAAGGACCACCTGTTGTGCATGGTGTGCTAAAGTTGTGAAGCTGTGCTTGATTTAAATGGCAAAAGGTACTGATGAAGCGCAGTCAGATCAGCAGTCTGATCAGGAAGCAGTTTCAGAAACCTTGTGAAGAGCTGAAGCATTGTAATAGCATCTACTATCATTTCCTGGTGTGCAGCAACAGAAAAATGTGATAAGTGTGTCTGGAGGCTTCAGGTAGAAATTTAATGTATATGCTATTGCAGAATACTGGGTAATAAACCAAGGTAGCTGCAACTCTTCCTGCTCGATTGTTGTTTGTTCAGGGACAGATTCTGAGGTACTAAATAGACCCCGAGTTTACATATTTTAACGCAGCAATGAAAGAACTCTTGTGGGCACTAGAGTATCTAGCAAAAGGGAAACCTAGATTGCAATTGTTAGGAGCTACAATTGCCTGGGTTGAATGCCAGCTGAGAAGCTATCAGATGTGGATGTTCTTGGTTTGTACTGATTGAAGCAAAATAGGAAGAAGACAAATCTTTACAGATCTTGGTTCAAAGCCCCCCAAAGGGGAATAAGGCAAGGCAAAAATGTACTGACTATGCTTCCTGTAAGGGATAATACCAAGGGGGGAAAAAAGAGTCCATATGCCTTTTAAAAGAAGTTACTTTATGTACACATGCCAAAAAATATTTTCTTCTGTAAGATAACTTCAAGAGAAATAAAAGCTCAAAGAGTTAAATGAAGAAATAATCTTCCAAACTCTTTAAGTAATTAAATGCACTATGTGCTCCTGCCAACAGTGTGAGTGTCCTGTGCTTGATCAACACTGCTTCCTGCTGTATTCCATCCACTGCATTGCACACACAAACCTATTTACAAACTAGTGCAATCCCTGAGCCTAGAAGTAGCAACAGCAGTGGCAGCAGAGACTCAGCAAAGGGAAGAATTCCAAAGTTTTGCTTGAATGGGGGTACACCTGGTAGGTATTAGGCCAACTGAGAAGAAACTTCAAGAGCTGGTAGTTAGGTTTCTCCTAAAGTCCTTAGCTTAAGGGAACTGTAACCCAGTACAGACTGAAAATGGCTCTGTCTTCCCAAGAGTAAAAAGTAGGATTTTAGGGCTCAGCGGCTCACAGTCACCTTAATAACTGGAGAGAAGCTTCAGAAAGGAGGAATAATACAAGGAAATTCAGAAACATGCATGTAAGTTGCAGATTTCTACCAGATGCTGGAAGATAGGCAGGACAATATTGGAATTATTGCTTAATTGGGGAGCTAAAAGGAGGCACTTGGAAGATAAATGTCAGGAAAGAATATGAGGGGCCATTTATCCAGACCTTTCCAATCTCAGAGGTAGGGCAATAGTGGGGGGGGGGAAGTGTCCTAATTAGCCACAGACTACACAGGGGTTAGTATCTCCGCAAACTCTTCCCAGAGCATAGGAACCAGCAATGGTGAAGTGGAGGTGAAGACGTGAAGTCACGAGCAGCAAAACAAGGGCAAATACCCTGAATTCGAGTGGCTTAATACTGTGGGAGATGGAGGGCGGGGGGAGTGCACAGCCAGCATAAAAATGACGCATTTAAGTCTCCTTCCACGTAGGAAACCTTGCACTAATTAAAAGCATCTCGATTTTGAGATGTAAAAAAAAGGGAATGGAGGAGACCATCCAGGAAGCCTATATTCCCCCAGCCATCTTAGATTGAGGTAAGGCACAAGCCTTTTAAAGGGTAGTCAATCTTCCCCTCCACAGTGAGGAACTATGTGCTAAGCAAAGAGCCTTGCACTTTGGGACACAGGAAGATAGCAGGTCTGTTTGTACTGGTAAGGGGGGCTCTTATCTCAAGTCTCCTCCATCCCTGCCCTGCCCTTATTCCAAGGCCCTGAGGAGCTGTTGCCCTTGGAGAGAATCCAGCTGCTCCCTTCAGTTCAAGGAAGGGAACGTATATGGCTGTCCACCTGTTGCAAGTGGAGAAGGGAAGCAAGGAGAAGGTCAGTCCACATCCATGAAGTCCCGATTTGCTAGCTCTTTAGAGTGAGAATCACAGCAGGCAGCATAGTCCTCCTCGTTCCCGCAAGCAGACGTACTCGTGGATGCAGCGAGGGGAGTTGGGTGGCAGATTTTGTCCTGGCGTTGATAGAAGAGGACATAGGCAGCTTTGGACTGGCAAGAAGACAGGGAAAAGTTAATACATGGCAACGAACAACACAGCCTGGAAGATACTCTCGGTCAACTTCCAGGTCAAAGAAAAAGGAAACACTGAATTGAAATGGTTTCACACGTGCGTAAATCTCCCAAACTTAATAATTGACTATCAAACTGGCAGTGGAAAGACTACGGGTCAAAAAAAACTGGACTTGTTTATAAAATTTTGCACTGCTTTAATATAAGAGCCACCATAGGAGATAAAGCTTTGCATTGTCATTGTTTACTCCAGCTTGGCCACCATGGAAAAAAAATGAAGATTCTGAAGCATGTTTTTAAAGCAAGCTCCTTCAGTCTTAAAAATTTAATCCAAGGGTCTTTTACTTAATAACTAGGATGTACTGGAACTGACCCCTCCAGAATATGCAGCCCATAAAAGAACCACCGTGCTAGCTGGGAAATATGGGGATGATAGTATCTTAAAGCATTCCGAAGCAAGAAAAGATGGGCTAGTTACTTTAAAAAAAGACATTCTCAAAAAGCTATAGTCACATTCTGCATTTTTACTCCCATTGCAGGTGCAAGACACACCTTGTATAGCTGTCCTCCATCTTACAATGCCCTAAATCAGGGGTAGGCAACCTTGGCTCTTTTATGACTTGTGGACTTCAACTCCCAGAATTCCTGAGCCAGCTTGGCTGGCTCAGGAATTCTGGGAGTTGAAGTCCACGAGTCATAAAAGAGCTAAGGTTGCCTACCCCTGCCCTAAATCAATGGCAAAACTAAGAGAAGCCATCCGAAGCAAATAAGCCCACTTTCTCCCCTACAGTTGTTCGAAATGACTCCTTAGAGACACTGGAATGTGTCCCATTTCTTAACAATTAATATCTAGATAATTTATTTCAATTTGCTTCCACTAACTGAAGGGTCCGGTCTGCTTGGAAACATGCGGTTTCCAAGGTTCCATTCAAATTTACCCATAGAACAAGTGCCTGTCAAAGAATCTATTGTGTTACAAGATCTGACAATCCTACTAGCAAAAAATGTATGAAGGAGAAAAGCGCCCAGATTATGCAGCGAGGCCTTTGCCAGCAAGTACTGAAACAATGAGCCCATCCGAATATGACGTGCCTTACCTCGATCTGGTTCTCTGAAACCGCAGACACGCTACTGTCATCAAAGTAAAACCACGTCCCTGTGTCCTTGTTCCGGGCAAAAGTGGTGTCTAGAGAGTACAAGAGATGAGTCGGGTCATTCCGTATCCTTTTTGTTGTCCACCAAGAAAATAAATGCTGCCTTGCCACACAGGAATTCCGCACAGTTCTGTTTTATGTCTGTCTCTTTACAGTTTCAGTTAATATATCCCAGGGGCTAAGCTCTTTTCTTTTTTTTCTGATTGTTTTTGCCTTCTGGTCACATTGGGCTAAGAGAGAATGACAGCCAATTTGGTGTAGGGCAGTGGTTCTCAACCTTTTTAATGCCGTAAGTCGAGGACTAAACCGGTCGTAAGTCGAGGACTAAACCGGTCGTAAATCGAGGACTTTCCCTGCCTGGGAGCGCCGCGCATGCGTGGTTCTGCCCCCTGCGCCGGCCGAGGTGTAGCTGGCAAGCGGCAGAGACGGAGCAGGCCGACCACCAGCTGGCCCAGCCCAAGGGAGGTAAGGCACCCGCCGGAAAAGGAAAAAAAAATGGCGGACAGCCTTGCTTGGCGACCCCCGTGAAATGGTCGATCGACCCCAAATGGGGTCGCGACCCATAGGTTGAGAACCGCTGGTGTAGGGGTTGAGGCACCTGACTAGAAACAGTATCTAGTCCTGCTTCAGGCACAAAGCCAGCTGGATGACCTTGGGCCAGTCACTCTCTCTTAGTCCTAGGAAGCAGGCAATGGCACACCACTTCTGAAAATCTTGCCCCCAAAACCTGCAGGGGCTAGCCCAGTCAGTCATTTTAAATCAAGACTGGGTTCAAAGGAACTAAAAAAGAGTGGTCTTATTCTCCTTCCTAAAAGAGGAAAAGAAGAAGATTCTTTCCTTAAAGTTATTGCTACTGTTGCCAACAAAAATCGGAGCAAGTTCTTAAGCTATTACTTTGCAACTACTGTTAAGGACAAACAGTCCTCATTCATCAGATGAGTGGCAGGCAGCTTGTGACCTCCAGACGGAGAGATGGAGGAGTGCGACAAAATAAAAACAAAAAAAGGCCTGGCAGATGGGTTCATGGACCTGAAAGCTGTAACCAAGAGCAAGGTTTGGTAGGTTCTGAAACAGAGAGGCTGGGGGAAATCTTGCTTGCTTGTTTATTAAATTTACATCCTGCCCACCTCACCGATAAAGCGACTCTGGGTGGCTTACACTCTTATATATAACTATCTTCCAAGTATTTGCACATATCCCTTACTAAGAGCAGTATGGTTTTATTGGATGATGCTTCAAGTTTATCCCCACCTCCTAAAAAAAATCTATTGCTTCAGTATACATACAGTGCCCATCCCGGAGGCCACCATAATGGTTGGACACAGCAATGAGGTCGTATTTGTATAGGGAGGTGTCAGTGTCTTTCTGGGGTTTGATGATGAAATCAGAAAAGTCCAGCTCCCTGTAAGAGAGAAATTAAAAAGCCACTGTTGTTTAAATGGTTGAGGAAGGATACCCCAACATCAACCCTTTTGGAGAAAAGCCATATATGTGCACCAGGAATTACCACTATCTCAATGTGTGCTCCCAGCTACAATAACTTTACACTAATGCAGCCTTCCATGACTTAAGCTTGGGATGTGTCTGACAACAATTTCCATGCCTCACAGGCTTCATCAAATGTGTTGTAACCCAAGAAAGCTGAACACGTCAGCAAGAGGAAAGCAGTACCACACTTTGCCCTGATCTTCCAATTAACTGGTAGCACAAAGCAAGTATTTCCTGCAGAGAGACTTAAAACAGGGACAGAGAACCTCCCCACATTTGGGGAAGGCCAGCATGCCCCATTTCTAAACCCTCAATAGCCCTGGAGCTACCTTTGAAAATCCTTTAGCAACACAGCCAACAATGACAGGGTGTCACTGTGATGAAGCTTGCATGATTACTGAGTCTTTTTTATTGATGTAATATACATACAGTACATACCCATCATGCTATTCCCTTTATGATGTAGCAGTGTTATAGAGTGCAGAAAAGGAGTAAGAAGTAGTAAGCGAAGGGGGAAAAAAGGAACAAGATAATAAAAAAGATAATATAGGTAAATCTCGTTTCACCAACACCCATCCACACAAAGTCCATTCAGGCTGAGTTTTTGATGACCTCCAAAGTAGAAGATGAAGGCTTTCAATTATATTTCACCATTTCAGAGGCCATAAATTATCACTCAGATCTGTTTCCTCAGAGGAAAGGATGAGTCTTCCCCGGTTGCATTTTCCATGATCTATGCCAGGGGTAGGCTGGCTCAGGAATTCTGGGAGTTGAAGTCCACGAGTCATAAAAGAGCCAAGGTTGCCTACCCCTGCTCTATGCTATCCAAAGGGCAGCCACATACAGCATCCACCCATTTCACTCCTGGTAACAAAAATTAATGACTAGGCCCACTGGCTTACTGGATAGGGAACTCCACAAGGGTGTCAAGTTTCTCCCGGGAGAATTTGGTATAAGAGAAACGCTTGAGGTGA